GATCAGCTGAGTTGCGCCGAGCAGATGAGTTGCGCCGATCAGCTGAGTCGCGCCAAGCAGAAGAGCCGCATCCACGTGCTCGCTGTTCGTGAAACGCCTTGAGAATGCCGAGAAGCTGAGCTGTCTCCTTCAGCTTGCCTGCACCGAGCAGCTGAGTCGCGCCGAGCAGATGAGCCGCATCCTCATGCTCCCTATTCGTGAGACGCCTTGAGAATGCCGAGAAGCTGAGCCATCTTCTTCGGTTCGCCTTGCGCCGCCGAGCAGCTGACCGACTTCTTAAAGGCTCTTCTCTTGAAACGCCTTGAAGTTGCCGAGCTGCTGAGCAGTATCCCTCAGCTCCGATCTGCCACGTGGCTAGTCGTCGCATCAACCGTACAACTGTTTACGACCGCGCGGAGTGCGTCGTGCGACGTGCGACATTGCGCAGAAGGTGAGGCGCGGAACGGAATCGAATGTTACTCCCGCACCGTGGCTCCCACGCGTTCCGGTTCAATCTGGTCATTCCTTGGAAGGTCAAAGATTACAACTGAAATTTCAGTGGCATCGAACTTTTTAAGGCAGATCTGCGATGATGCAGAGTTTAGAAAAGGTATTTTAAGAACGCTTACGAAACAGTAATGCGGCTGTACGAAGCCCTCAGGTGCTGTGGTCGTACGCCGGTCAGCGATGTGTACTTAGCAGGCCAAAGTTTCCGACAACCATCCCAACCACCACTGCCACTGCCAATGGGCCGTGAAAATGGCATCTGAGAAAGCAAAACACTCCGCATTGAAAGTCACTCTCGATTGAGATAAGTAGCGAAATAGCGCCCTCTACGGTCACTTGCATAGCGTTTACTACATACTTGGCAACAAACTAGACTAGAAGACCTGAGCAAACAAGGAAGAATTATGCAGACAATGCTGGTAGAAAAGGACTAAAAAGTAAAGGAGTTCCTGCTTTATTGCTGAACCTCGGGAAGTGAGATCTAGATGTTCGCTGGGGTCAACATCAATGCTTGCGTCTTGCGTTCCTAGAACGATCGATTTGATATGGAAAATGGTTGGGTAGGTTTTAGAGCGATAATGCACTTTTGGGAGATGCCGTGCATCATCGAGGGATGTGGGAGGAGAACCTTGACGCTGGTTGGTTGCTGCTTGGGATGGGATGTCATGACATGATGGGGAGCTGGGAGGGTTTTGCAAAAGAAGAGACGAAAGAGCGAATTTTCATTGTGCTGAGTTACAGAGCGGATATCACTGTTGGTTCACCACCATTTTCGCGAGAGTCTCGCTCTAGACATAACCGTTTCACGACATGGGTGTTGTTGACGACAACTTCGATGGCGAGGCGACCCTCAATGATCATTCGGTGAATGGAACCACAACCGCAACTTTCTGACGAGCGAAACCGTTCAAACCTTCATTTAGACCATAATGCACCACGCAAAACAAAAGAGAAACCGAGGTTCGATGAGAAACCCAGCTCAGTAATGAGTGAAACCGCGCAAACCTTACCATAAACCGAATCGCACCACACGCAATTAGGCAAGTAGTGCCCCATAGGGAATCCCATTTCACCCGCTACACAACACAAAGCGCCACCTCCACAGAACCTACTCAACAATTCTGATAGACAGTCTCCTAAGCTATGTTTGTGGTGGTGATGTGCCGCTCATTTCCACACCACCTAATTACCGCGGCTTTCCCGCCTTGATTCACGCGCTTGTCTTCATCGCTCACCTGGCCTGTGGAATAGTTCGAGCTGAGATTCAACACAGTGCTGCTGGCAGCGGCAGCAATCCGCGCCTGGTAATTTGATAACAATTGACCATCGGTTTCGCCATCACCTCGCGAAATGTCGCGTCCCGCGGGTTACAAAAGTTCGGGTCAGCTTCACGAAAGAAAGCATTCGCCGGTAGCATCCTCGTCCTCTCCGTTCGTCCCAAACAGCACTAGTAGTAACCCTCGCAACTTACCGTCCTCCAATCTTAGTAACCCGCGCAGCGTCTTACAGACCCACCACGCCTATTACTCGTCGCCGACCGATCACGGCGACTCTGATGACGCTCGCGAAACGTCGGGTGCGAGAGCGTTCGGTTTCGCCTCGGGCGCCGTTTTGTCGTCGCGCGCGCGCGCGACAGTCGCAGCAGTCGCAGGGCATCTGCAGCGCGTGCGGGCGACCGTCGCCGTGCGATTATCGCGGCTTTCGCGCGACCAGGCAGGTGCACTTGTAGCAACGCTCAGACCCCTTTAGATTTCCCTCCATTCTACTTCCTGCTTAATATTTCTTCTTCCCACAACCTTAGTTTCACTGCCTGAACTCTACAGCCTGTATTATTATCCCTATGTTCAATCTAAAAATTTTAATGCTGGATTGTACCTCAGCCACTCGTTGGCAGGTCTAACCTCAGGTTCCCCATTCCCCCTTCCCCATGCATCCCCGTTACAGGTGGATGCGATAACAGTCCTAACAGCGGGCCTCGTAGCACTTGCACTATGGGCGGCGCTGTGGTTGCAAGACGAAGTGCAGTTGCTAGCAGCACCCCAAGGCACATGCCCCTCCCTCCCAGACTTTCCCCCAGAGGAGGTTGATGTGCTGGGGAGGGTTCCGCAGTATGGGAAGTTTGACCTAAGCGCGCCGATGGTGGGGAAATATCTAAAGCTTATACATAAGTACTTGGAGCCGTGGCAACCTATACCGGTGAGGCTATAAGGAGTATGGTGGGGAAATATCTGAAGTTTTAGCTAAGTGTGCAGATGGAGGGGAAATGCTCAGGTTGTTAGTTCATTGTACCTGGAGGAGCCATGGCAGCCTATACAAACACTCCCATCCCATTCCATCCCATCCCATCCCATCCCATCCCATCCCATCCCATCCCATCCCATCCCATCCCATCCCATCCCATCCCATCCCATCCCATCCCAACCCATCTCATTCCGGTCCGGGAAAATGTTATGCCAATCCATTCCAACATTCATCCCCATCCCATGTCATCCCAACCCAGGGGATTGAGTCTGGTTTGGGCCAAACCGGCTTCGTCACTCCCGAGGCTCTCTACCGCTTGGCTCGGCAGCCTTCTGTCATGTCGTGTTCCGGCCATGTCAAGGTGCGTTAGCGTTTGGCTTGAATCACCTTCGATTTGAGGATTGATCTAAGCATGCTTGGCTCGGCAGCCATCTGTCATGTCGTGTTCCGGCCATGTCAAGGTGCGTTAGCGTTTGGCTTGAATCACCTTTGATTTGAGGATTGATTTAAGCATGCTTGGCTCAGCAGCCGTCTATCATGTCATGTTCTGGCCATGTCAAGGTGCGTTACATTTTTATGGCACCACTCGTGGCCCTCTTGTGCTCATGCTTCACAAAGGTGATCAACAGAAATTTTTTTTTTCCGGAAATAGTATAGTGCGCATCAACAGTGCGCTCATATTTGCTCATCTTTTCCATCCTCACACAGGTGATTAACGGAAAGGTGTTTTTCCGGTACGGCAGCTTCTGGCACGTCTACAGTCCGCCTCTTGCAGACAGTCAAGAGACTCCTGAGTCGACTCAAAAGTCATCCCATATGCCATGCGCTCATCTTTGCTCGTGTTTGTCCTCCTCACACAGGTGATAAACGGAAAGGTGTTCTTCCGGTACGGTGGCTTCTGGCATGTTTACTACCGCCTTAACCGGTTCCTGCAGACAGTGAAGATGATTCAAGTGAGTCAGTATGAGTTGATTGAGTCAAGGTGTTCTAGTTGGTTCAGGTCAAGAGGTGACAACCATATTGATTGAAATGCATCTGGCATGATGACTACTCTACTACTGCCGTAGCCTCTTTCTGCAAGCAGTGAAGATAATTCAAGTATTGAGTTAAGTTGAGACGATTTAGTGTGTGCATTCAAGTCAAGATGATTCTAATGAGCTAGTTTGAAGTTGCATGGCTCGCCACACCATGCTTGCTTCTCCTGTGAACCTGCTCGTTGCTTTCAAGATGCAATCGCCATGTATGTATATATACCATAATACACTGTATGGTCTGTCTGATAAGCCACCTCCACCTCTGCATGGTCCTATCCCTACACAATACACTCTGTTGACAGGCTCTCTTCCTTTTTTCCCTCAGGATGCATCTGACAGGTACGGTCTGACAGATCTTTGACTCGAGATGATAGTCAACACGTGCGACCACCCCCGCAAGTATCTCTCCTGAAACCCTTCCTCCCTCTCCCATTCTCCTGTGTTCCTCCTTGCCTTGTGCAGGACGCTATAGACGTGTACGGTCTAACAGACCTCCGACTAGAGATGATGGTCAACACGTGCGACCACCCGCAGTCCTTCTACAGCAGCCACTGGGCCGACCGTGTTGGCTACCCTCCCTTTCCTCCCTTTCTTCCTTTCTCCCATTCTCCTGCATTCCTCCTTGCCCTTTGTCGCAGGATGCAATCGACGTGTACGGCCTAACAGACCTTCGACTTGAGATGATAGTGAACACGTGCGACCACCCCCAGTCGTTCTACAGCAGCCACTGGGCCGACCGTGCCGGTTACCCTGTGATGAGCATGGGCTTCACAGTTGATACCATGGATATTCCCATCCCCGACCCGCTCGATCTCACTGAAGATTACACTCCAGACCTCAGTACTCAGGTATAAGCCATTTACCACCCCCCTCCCCCCCCGCGCCGGTTACCCTGTGATGAGCATGGGCTTCACAGTTGATACCATGGATATTCCCATCCCCGACCCTCTGGATTTGACCGAGGACTACACGCCTGATCTCAGCACTCAGGTAAGTCAATGAGAGGCACTCACCACCACACCCCCACCCACGCCATGCCGGGTACCCGGTGATGAGCATGGGCTTCACGGTCGACACCATGGACATACCCATTCCTGATCCACTTGATTTGACTGAAGATTACACCCCGGATCTCAGCACGCAGGTGGGTAGAGGAACGCAGGTGTGTCAATAAGAGGCACTCAGGTGTGGTGTGGTGTATAAGCCACTGCTTTGACCAACCACGCTGGTTACCCTGTGATGAGCATGGGCTTTACTGTTGACACCATGGACATACCCATCCCTGACCCACTGGACTTGACTGAAGACTACGCACCGGCTGTCAGACGTGCACTCGGCGCTGATGGAAGCGCCCATGCACAGATTCATGCATACATAGAATGGACCCCCGTGGGTGCGGCGTTTGAGTCGATCCGTGCACCGTATTCACCCCCTGTTCGCCCCAAACCCCTCAATCGCCAGGTGCCGTGGGAAAGGAAAGAAGCACGAGCAGTGTTCAGAGGAAAAACGACCAACTTTGACATGCTGGACGGCAACTGGGGCGCGAATCCTCGCGTGAGGTTGCACCGGCTCTCAGACGTGCACGCTGCACTGATGGAGGCGCACATCAACGCGTGGAGCCACGCGAAGCCAGCGGTGATCAAAGCGATGGCGGAGGACGGGTTGTTGCTGGCAAAAAGGATGAACTTCACTCAATTCAACGCGTTCAAATACCAGGTAAGGAGAGTTGTATCTTATGAGAGTCTCAGCTGTACTGGGGCAGCACACACTCAGAGGCTGTCCGACGTGCACTCGGCGCTGATGGAGGCGCACATCAACGCGTGGAGCCACGCCAAGCCAGCTGTGATCAAGGCCATGGCGGACGATGGGTTGCTGCTGGCCAAGCGAATTAACTTCACCCAGTTTAACGCGTTCAAGTACCAGGTACAGAGCAAGGTGGGGAGAGGGAAGGGCTGTTGCCACGCCAAGCCCGCGGTGATCAAGGCCATGGCGGAGGATGGGTTGCTGCTGGCGAAGAGGATGAACTTCACTCAATTCAACGCGTTCAAGTACCAGGTAGGGAGCGGAGGGATGGGGGAGGAGAGAGGGAGGGTGTGAGGAGAGTTTGCTGTTATCAGTGAGGGTATCGCATGGGCGTCTCAGAGAGACACTTGGGCTGCACACACACACACCGGCTGTCAGACGTGCTCTGGGCGCTGATGGAGGCTCACATCAACGCGTGGAGCCACGCCAAGCCCGCGGTGATCAAAGCGATGGCGGAAGATGGGCTGCTGCTGGCAAAACGGATGAACTTCACTCAATTTAATGCATTCAAGTACCAGGTAGGGAGCGAGGGGGTGAGAGAGGTGGGTAGTGAAGAGTGAGGGGGAGAGAGAGGGTGAGACGTGCACGTGGGCTGCACACACAGGGGCTGTCAGACGTGCACGCGGCGCTGATGGAGGCGCACATCAACGCGTGGAGCCATGCCAAGCCCGCAGTCATCAAGGCCATGGCAGAGGATGGTTTGCTGCTGGCGAAGCGCATGAACTTCACCCAATTCAATGCGTTCAAGTACCAGGTGGGTAGTGGTGGGAGAGCGCCGCTGAGGGTGAAAGGTACCTAAAGAATGTAAGGACTCTCTGACTGCCAGCGGTGATCAAGGCAATGGCAGCCGATGGGCTGCTCTGCTGCTGCTGGCCAAGCGCATGAATTTTACTCAATTCAATGCGTTCAAGTACCAGGTAGGGAGCTAAGGGGGAAGGGGGGAGGGAAGAGAGAGTCTCGCAACGCTCTCATTCCTGAATGTTCCTCCTCCCCCTCCTCCTCCTCCTGCTGCTGCTGCTGCTGCTGCTGCTGCTGCTGCTGCTGCTGCTACTGCATCTTATGGGCTCTTTTACCTGCTGCTGGCGAAGCGCGTGAACTTCACTTCCCCCAGCCATAGTGGACGGTGGGGGTGGCGGCTGCAGGGCATGCACAGCACTGAGATCGAATTAACTAAACATACCACAGGAAACCTCCTTCTCTTCCCCCCCATGGTCGCACTTTTGCCTTTCCATCAGGTCATAGGGGATGGTGGGGGTGGCAGCTGCAGGACATGTGGGGTCCTGCGATCAAATCAACTGAGCATTCGGCAGGAGACGCCCCTCTTCAAGTTCTATGAGCCTTCCTCCTCCCATGTCGTCTTGCATTCCCCGCTTCCATCAGGTGATCGTTGATGGGGGAGGCGGCAGCTGCAGGACGTGCGGAGTGCTGCGATCCAATCAGCTGAGCATCCGGCAGGAGACTCCCTTGTTTCAGTTCTATGAGCCGCTGCTAGAAGATGGGGTGCACTGGCTGGTTACCACCCGCACGTGAGTAACATAGCAGCTGTGCCTGCTTGTAACCCTATGACCACTTGCACGTGAGGAACAATGCCTATTGGTAACCCTATATTAGCCATACAGACGCCTCCCTTTCAGTTCTACGAGCCTCTGGCCCTCTGCTTGGGGATGGGGTGCACTGGCTGGTTACCACTCGCACATGAGTAACAGCTGTGCCTTCTAGTAAGTAACCGTATCAATCAACCATACAGACGCCCCTCTTTCAGTTCTACGAGCCGCTGTTGGAGGATGGGGTGCACTGGCTGGTTACCACTCGCACGTGAGTAACCAATCATGCCTGCTGGTACCCTATTACCACACTGTCGCCTCTCTTCCAGTTCTATGACCCGCTGCTGGAGGGCGGAGTGCACTGTCTGGTTACCACCTGCAAGTGAGTAACAGCTGTTCCTGCTGTTGGTAACCATATCAGCCAGTATTAGCCGTACAGACAGACAGTCGCCTCTCTTCCAGTTCTACGAGCCGCTGCTGGAGGATGGGGTGCGCTGGCTGGTAACCATGTCAGTTGGGCGTTTACCTTCCATGTGGTAACTCTGGTAACTGTGTGGTAACCATAGTAGGCTGGTGACTGTTCTACAAGCCACTGCTGAATGATGGCATGCACTGGCTGGTAACCAGGTAACCACGTAGACCCCCCTCAGTTCTATGAGCCACTGCTGGATGATGCCATGTACTGCCTGCCCTCCGACCTGCCTGCCTGCTAAGCGGGCGATTCCCCTTATGCTATATTGGCGTCACTCTTGGAAGTTTTCGACTTTTGAGACGTCTCAAAAGTTCCCCTTATGCTATATTGGCGTCACTCTTGGAAGTTTTCTAAACTGAACCCGATATAGTAGGCTGGTGACTGTTCTACAAGCCACTGCTGGATGATGTCATGTACTGGCTGCTGCTCCGACCTGCATGCCAAGCCTGTGGTTCCCGACCAACCTGCTTCCCTTTTCTTGCTGGTTTCCCATTTCTTGCTCATCCGACCGACTCCTGCTTCCCTTCCTTCCTTTCGCCCTCCCATTCCCCTCGCAACCCCCCTTTATGGTAGGTTCTCCCACCTACCTGCCAAAAATCGCTTGGTCCAGCAGAATGACCTCGTAGGCCCCCTTTACCGCTTCCCACCCCTCCTTAACTCCCCCTCTTTCCAGGTTCTCCGATCTGCCTGCCAAGATTTGCTGGGCCCAAGAGAACGACGACGCAGCGCAGCGGCTGGTGCATGCAGCGAACCACATGGCGCAGTATGCCTGCACGTGGAGTGGCAGGCGGCTGCACTGGGGGGAATGTGAGGTGGCTCAAGAACCTCTCTCCACCCCTCTCTATTCCCCTGCAACTCTCAGATTCTCCGACCTGCCCGCAAAGATCCGGTGGGCCCAAGAGAACGACGACGCAGCACAGCGGCTGGTGCATGCAGCGAACCACATGGCGCAGTATGCCTGCACGTGGAGTGGCAGGCAGGCAGGCAGGTGTATGTGCTGTGTAGTGGCAGGGCGAGGTGGCGTGCGATACAGGGAGGCGATGTGAGACAGCTCAACAACCCCTCTCAATTCCCCTGCAACCCTCAGATTCTCCGATCTTCCCGCCAAAATTCGCTGGGCCCAAGAGAACGACGACGCAGCACAGCGGCTGGTGCATGCAGCCAACCACATGGCGCAGTATGCCTGCACGTGGAGCGGCAGGCGCCTGTACTGGGCTCTGCTGCTGGTCAAGTACCATGACGTGTTGCAGGACCCCTCTGCTGTGACTGAACCCACCGCCAACGAGATCTGCACCAAGCAGTGAGTGGTGTGGTGTTGGTGTGTGTTCCCTGCACGTGACTCTGGGCGCTGCTGTTGGTGAAGTACCATGACGTCTTACAGGACCCCTCGGCCATCACTGAGACCACTGCGAACGAGATCTGCACAAAACAGTGAGTATATGTGAGCCTGAGAAAGCCCCAGGCATTGGTGGCTGTACTGGGCGCTGCTGCTGGTCAAGTACCATGACGTGTTGCAGGACCCAGCCACAGAAGACGAAATCGCGGTTATTGATTAACAGGCTTGGGTGTGGAAACAAAGGAATGGTTTAGGGCCACGGTTTCGTCCAGGTTCAACGTATCAAACATAGAATGTGTCGAGTAACAGCAGCCAAAAGAACCTACCAGCAGGCTTCGGTGCGGGAGGAGCGGCTTGTTTAACGGTCACTGTTCCGTCAGGGTTCACTGTGAATCCCGGAGTCTGGATTCCGCCGGCGCTGGCACCTCCGGTACTGATGTTGAGCCCACCAGGGAACGTAATCCCGCCGTTTGTTCCGTCAGAACTGACGGTCCCGTTCGGATAGACGGTGAAACCGCCGGCAGATACGGATCCGTCCGCGTTCGTTGTCGGGGTGATCGCCTGACCGTCACCGTTCACAATTGTGCCGTTCGGAAAATATGTCGTGCCGTTTACGGTCACGCTGCCGTTCCCCGCGTCGGTTGAATAATCGACACCGGTCACGGAACCGTCTGGTCCGACAGTAACGCCTGGGATTTGAACCATGCCGTTTGTATTATCGGGTTCAGCGACCGCAAGATTGACGGCTGGCGACAAAGTCGCTGCGAGGAGAAGAAGCACTGTGAGCATGAGTGGACGAGTCGCCATGTTGAGCTAGGACCCGAGTCGTGCAAGAAGTTCTTTGTTGAACAAAGAAGGGTACTGTGTATGAATAATAATAGATGGACAACGCAACGTACTGGCACTTTGTGTCCAGCTGAAGGGCTGTGCGAAGTTCGTCTGTTTGGCTGAAGGGACATCTGTCCGAGATATAGTACGTAATCGTGGACGAACACGTTTCGACGCCATCCCTATCGCATACGCAAGTGGTGATGGGTAGACTTCCATCTCTTCCTCCCTCTGTCCGTCCTTCCCTCCCTCCGCCCTCCCTCCGTCCCTCCCTCCGTCCCTCCCTCCGTCCCTCCCTCCGCCCGCCCTCCCTCCGTCCCTCCTCCCTCCATCCCTCCCTCCACCTCCTTGATGTGATAACGCTCAGTTGCTTCCGTTATTTCTGTTAACGGTTCCCCACCTCTTGCTTAGAACGTGAAGCCACGGCTCGCTGCTGCAAATACACACTTGTTTGGCAAGCACGCAATACTGTACAACCTCGCGTTTCCTAATCGCTAACAGCACCGACCAACAACGCCCCAACGTCTTTTCCTGCCTTGTCCGCCAACAACGCTAACAAGTTTCCCAGAACGAAACCCAAGCCCATCAGAGTAGCAAACAAGGGGACAGGGATGTTGGTGGCACTTCTGCCGTTTTTTACTGTAAACTCTTGTCAAAATGCTCTGAGACTGCAACCAACCAATCATTTTGCATCAATACCGGGTCTGCTTGTTGCAGGGAGTTCCCTTGTGCCTTTTCCTGTTCTGGCTTTACTTTTCTCGGTGTCTTGAGGCTGGCGAGACGGTACAAAGCGATGACTCGTGAACCAGTTTCGGCTTGCCAAAATTGGCGCCCAAAACCTCGGCGCCTTACTGAACCGTATTTCACCGACTGTACAGGGACCTCTGTGCTCGGTGGATTTTGTTCCTCCCGGCGTTACCTAGGTGCTGATTTCTGGTTCGGCTTGTTTGGTGCACCGTATGCACGAACCAAGCTGGATGGTTGAGCGAATGGTTACCAGGAAATACGAAGTAAGACATGCTGGGGTCGGGAGATTTGATTCGACCTATCTGCCTTCCCTGCGACTCACAGCCCCGAGAAGTGACAAAGTGACCTCGCTAGGATCATAAATTCGTACAACGATCTGGCGAAATTGCTACTCGTCTCCTCGGCTTACCTCTTCCCCGTGCCGCGATTGTTCCGGCGTTATCGTTCAATTAGCGAACATGATTTGATATCTTTGTCCGATTGTTAGCAAATATCTCGAGAAGGAGACCGTTCCTGGTGCGGCGGGTGATTGACCTCAAATAATCTTCTGAAACCGATAGAACGCAACTGATTGTGGTGTAGTGGCTTGCACCGACCTTCACAATCAGTTCTAGCACCCTTTAATACATGACAGCTCTGGGATACGGAGGCAACAGGCTCGTGATAGGTCATTCAGCATACAGCCACTGATGTATACCTCTCATCTGCAGCAGCAGCGACGCCAGAAAAGGGAGATCTGGCCACAGCCAGATCTGCGACTCATGCCACGTCATCCGGAGGTGTACGAGCCGTGCGACGACTCCTTCGCCCTCGCCGATGCCATCGCCACGGACATCGCCCGGTTCTATCCGTCGCTTGCAACCTGCGCCAGCAACAACAGTCCGTCATTCGATCAAACCTTTCCACCATCGTTGATCTCGCACAAACCCCCCGCGTCCCATCCCTCAGATTCCTCCACGTCCTCCCATCCTTCACACGCCCACATTATCTCCTCTGGCCGTCCGTCGTTCCCTGCTCTGGTTGTCGAGCTGGGGTCCGGTAGCGGCTTCGTGCTTACATCAGTGGCTCTCGTCCTCCGCGCCCTCTCTGCTCCTTCTGCCCCCGCTGTCATCGCAAGCAGCAGCAGTGCTGCTATTAGTGCTGGCGGTGCTGATGCTGCTGGTAGGGGTCCTGGCAATGGTGCTGCTGCTGCCGTCTCCCTCGCCTCTCAGGCCGCATTTCTAGCAGTGGACATTAATCCCCATGCCGCAGACATCACCCGACAAACCCTAGCAGCCCACTGCATTCCAGCAGACGTTCTTTTATCAGATCTCGGATCGGCCCTTATACCGAGGATGGCAGGCCAAGTGGACATTCTCATTTTTAACCCGCCATACGTCCCCACTTCGCCGCAAGAAGTGCACCGCCCAGGAATCACACAAGCCTGGGCGGGAGGGGATCGTGGGAGGGAAGTAATTGATCGAGCTTTGGAGGTTTCAGCAGAGCTGTTGTCTCCCACAGGGGTGTTTTACCTGCTTGTTGTGGCGGAGAATGACCCTGAAGAGGTGGGGGAGAGGATGAGAGGGTTGGGGTTTGAAGGAGAGGAGCTGCTGAGGAGAGGGACGGAAGAGGAGGTTATAGTGGTGCTCAAGTTTTGGAGAGTAAAATTACTGTGATGTTACCATACAGTTAATGCATTTGTGTGTTTTGACATGTGAAGAACGCTGACCAGGAACGTTTATACCGTATGTGATAAGATGACTGTACAAATCCCTTGTTTAAAATTTTCTGGATTAGTGTAATTTTTCGCTATTCCTTACTGCGACCGTCAACATCGCGTACAGCCGCAACCGTTGTTCGCCCGTTACTGCTAACGGGGCTTGGCCAACTCCGCGCGCACTGTTTCACCAAACCTCGCACTGCTGGAGCAGCCGAGTCGGCCTGCGCTTCGGGACTAGCCAACCTCGCGCCAGCGTAGCACTAGCTAGCTCGCATGCACCGCGTTACCGTTTGCATGTTTCGCGTATAAGTATTCGCTCATGCCTTCGCTCATACTTTTGTCAAATGTTGTAGTCTTAGTGATGTGTGTTATAGGGGGTACAACTATTAGGGTTAGGATCCTAGTCAACTATGTACCCCAACCAACCTTAGTCAAACCAACACTTTCATTCTTTACATGGTATCACCTAGGTTAGGATCCTGTGGGATCCCGTTCCTCTCGTTCACGTCCGTAGCGCCCGAGCCTGTCCCGTACCCTAGTGCCCCTTACGCCCATACTGTCCCTTAGCGCCTATCGCGCTCGTCTCTCTCGTGCCCTAGCGCCCGCTGCGCCTGTCGTCGCCTTGCCCCTGCAGTCCCGTCCCGTCCCGTCGCCCCTGCTGTCCCGTCGCCCCTGCTGTCCCGTCCCGTCGCCCCTGCCGTCGCGTCGCCCCTGCTGTCCTGTCCCGTCCCGTCGCCCCTGCTGTCCCGTCGCGTCGCCCCCTGCTGTCCCTTCTGTCCCGCTGCGTCGCGCCGTCCGTCCCGTCCCGTCCCGTCCGCGTCGCGCTTCCCGTCCCGTCCCGTCGCACGCGCCCCGTGCACCCTGCCCGTCCGTCGCGCCCCGTGCGCCCTGCCCGTCCGTTGCTCCCCGTGCGCCCTGCCCGTCCGTCGCGCCCCCGCTGCGCCTTGCCCGTCCGTCGCGCCCCGTGCGCCCTGCCCGTCCGCGCCTGTCGCGCCCGTCCCTGCCAGTCGCGTCCTGTCCAGTCGCTTCGCACTTTCTATCACGCCCTACGCAGGCCCTTTAGGCGTTTAGGGTTTCGGCAGCAGCAGTATCCACCTCTACGCTTCCGCTATGGCGACCCCTAGGGTCCTGCGCTTTGACGCTGAGGGTAGGCCGCTCGAGTTCTCGGTCTGGCTCCTGCGTGCGCGCCCCCTCCTACAGAGCCAGGTTCAGGCACACGAGACTCTGTGGGCGCACGCTTCCGGTGACCTACCTGAGCCCGCTGGCCCTGCACCCTTAGCAGTTGACCCCACACCTGCAGACAGTGACCGTTATTCACGCGAGCGTGCTGACGTGACAGCGTGGAAGTCGCGTGACGCTGCGGCCTGCATCGCCCTCAGCAGCCTCCTCCCTGAGTCTGAGGAGACCCACTTCACTCAGGTTCGCACGGCTAGTGAGTTCCTGACTGCGATCAAGGCCCGCTACGCTACTCCCACCACTGTCTCTCTTGGTCGCCTGTTCCTTCCGTTCCTGTTTCCTGACCTCGCCTCGTTTGAGCGCACTGCTGACTTGATCACTCACCTGCGCTTGCTCGATTCTAGCTACCGCGCTGCTTGCACTGACGCACAGCTTGCACTGCTCCCTCCCCCCATGGCGATTACTATCTATTTCATCGCCACTAGCCTCCCTGACCGCCTTGCCTCGGTTCGTGACGCGCTTCTTCTGAAGCACCCTAGCGAGCTCACTATCGAGGTCCTTGAGTCGGCCCTCAAGGACGTCGAGAGCAACCTCCGCTCGGTAGCCTCTCCCTCTGGTGTTGTGCCCCCTCCACTGTTCCACGGGTGCACTGTCCCTCAGCTGCCCACCTTTACTGCCTCCCTCGCCACTGCCGCTACTAACGTAACCGCAGCTGCTGTTACGACTTCTTCGCGGTCTCGGGGTAGGAGTGGCAGGCGGTCAGGGTGCGGGCGGAGGCGGCGGAGGCGGTGGGGGTGACGTGGCGAGCGGCGGCGGCGGGAGTGCAGGGGCTGGAGGAGCGCCTTGTGCAGCGGCCGGTGACTCCCCTGCTGCAGCTGGTGGAGGTGACGCCCGGGTTCGTCAGCCACCTACTGGTCCGCTAGCCGCAGGGGGTGGAGCAGCGGCGTGGTACCTGACTCAGCGACATCAGCAGCAGCCCCTCCCCTCGCAGCAGCCACAGCAGCAGCAGCGACAGCAGCAGGTTTCGGGGCAGGGGTCAGGACAGCGTCAGCTGCAGCGCGGTGTCGTCCACCCACCCTGCACCTATCACGTTCTGACAGGTGCCCGCCGCGGCCAGCCTGTGGCCGCAGCCACCCACCGGGTCAGTGCTTTGCTCAGCTTACTGACACGGTTCGATTGGCCTACGGCGTTGACGGCCCTGCCCCTGACTGGCTTCCCCTTGTTCAGACGTGCGGCCCCGCTCTGTGGGGCATGTCGGCTTCTCAGTTGGTTGATGTCTTAGGAACTCCTCATGCTATGTATGCTGTTGTTGACTCTAGTGCTTCTGACTCTGTTTACTCAAGTGTTGTTAGCTTAGGTGCTAGTCTTGCTGAGGTGCCTGTTGCTAGTGTAGGTACTTGTGTAGACACTAGTCCAGGAGCTGCTCCGGAGGACGCTTCACTGTCTTTCACTCTGGATTCCGGAGCTTCGCACTGTTTCTTCCGCGACCGCACGACACTTACCCCGCTTCCTACGCCTGTCTCTGTAGCACTTGCTGATCCCACTTCAGGACCAGTCACTGCTCGCTACACTACTATGCTTCTGTGCCCGGCTGTTCCCTCCGGTTCTCTGACCGGCTTCCACGTCCCCTCGTTCTCGAGGAACTTGGTGGGCGTGAGGCCGCTCGTGAGTCAGCACGTGGGTGTGTGGATTGAGCCTTCTGGCGAGACTGCGGTTTGTGTCGACGGGGACACGTACGCGCCTCTCGCCACCTTTACCGCTGAGCCGGGCTCTGGTCTCTACACACTTCACACTGGCCCCTGAGGGCAGCAGCAGCAGCAGTAGCAGTAGCGGCAGCAGCAGTAGCAGCAGCAGCAGCTGCAGCTACTGCCCCTGACCCCTGTCACTGTCCCCCGTCAGGTTCCCGCGTCTCACCAGGTTGCCGCGTCTGTTACGATGCGATCTTAACTGGTAACCGGATTTAAGGAGGGCCTAGGCTTAGTAGCCTAGGCCAAGCTATTGTCGAGGTCAAGGCCAAGGGAGTGTCGATAGAAATTGACCAAACAAGTTTTGGCTTCACTAAAGCAAAGCATACAAGATATAGTCGAGAAACACAAGCAAGAGGTGCACCACCAACAGCAAAGAACAATAACTACAGTAACTACAGCAAGCAGGATATATCTTAAATATAACTTTGACACACCCCCTTAGCCTGCTTGCAGTAGGAACTAGAGTAGTCAACACCCCCTGAACGGGTATAGCTGGCGCAGTGGGAGACGGCAGAGGGGTACGTGAGGGGAGGCGGCGAGAGGGAGAGAGGAGAGGAGAGGAGATGAGAACACAGGAGGAGGTGAGTGAGGGATGAGGAGAGGAGGTGGGGGGGTGGCCGCGGCGTCCCCTCTTACTAACCCCCTTTTACGAAAGGGGGGTTGAGTGGGGGATGAGGAGAGGAGGTGGGGGGGTGGCCGCAGCGTCCCCTCTTACTAACCCCCACATCCCCACCCCCAATCAACCACCCTCCTTCAACCTCACCCCCCATTTCAGCCACCCCCTGGAACCGCACCCCCTCCCTCCCTTCCTTCCTCCACACCCCTGCCCAACCCACAGTTGTCTCTGCCCTGTCCTTCACACTGCAGCCAGCCCTCCCACCCCCCCGCTCCCGCCACCTACCCCCCACAGTAGCAGCCGCGGGAGGGGAGAGGCAGGGCAGAGGGTGGTGCTCTGCTGGCGGGGTTCTCTGCTGGCGGGGTTCTCTGCTGGCGGGGTTCTCTGCTGGTGGGGTTCTCTGCTGGCGGGGTTCTCTGCTGGCGGGGTTCTCTGCTGGTGGGGTTCTCTGCTGGCGGGGTTCTCTGCTGGCGGGGTCTCGTGCTGGCGGCTGGCCCTGGAGCTGGTGCTGGTGCTGGCGGCTGGCCCTGGAGCTGGTGTTGGTGCTGGCGGCTGGCCCTGGTGCTGGTGCTGGTGCTGGCGGCTGGCCCTGGAGCTGGTGCTGGTGCTGGCGGCTGGCCCTGGTGCTGGTGCTGGTGCTGGCGGCTGGCCCTGGAGCTGGTGCTGGTGCTGGCGGCTGGCCCTGGAGCTGGTGCTGGTGCTGGCGGCTGGCCCTGGAGCTGGTGCTGGTGCTGGCGGCTGGCCCTGGAGCTGGTGCTGGTGCTGGCGACTGGCCCTGGTGCTGGTGCTGGTGCTGGCGGCTGGCCCTGGTGCTGGTGCTGGTGCTGGCGGCTGGCCCTGGAGCTGTTGCTGGTGCTGGCGGCTGGCCCTGGAGCTGGTGCTGGTGCTGGCGGCTGGCCCTGGTGCTGGTGCTGGTGCTGGCGGCTGGCCCTGGAGCTGGTGCTGGTGCTGGCGGCTGGCCCTGGAGCTGGTGCTGGTGCTGGCGGCTGGCCCTGGAGCTGGTGCTGGTGCTGGCGGCTGGCCCTGGAGCTGGTGCTGGTGCTGGCGGCTGGCCCTGGTGCTGGTGCTGGTGCTGGCGGCTGGCCCTGGTGCTGGTGCTGGTGCTGGCGGCTGGCCCTGGTGCCTGGTGCCTGGTGCTGATGGGGTGCGACGGGTGGGACGAGCTGGAGAAGGGCTACAGGCTGGGCGGGATCTGACGGTAGGAGGCGCGCAAGCGCTGGTGCGATCGCCGGTGCTCTGGCGGTGATCGCTGGTTTTCCGCCGCCACTCCCTTCCCCCTTTTCCTCTCTCCCCCACAGCATTCCGCCGCCACTCCCTTCCCCCTTTCCCTCTCCCCCCCACAGCGTTCCGCTGCCACTCCCTTCCCCTTTTCCCTCTCCCCCCCACAGCGACCGCCGCTGCACACGCGAACAGCCG